ATATAATGTTAGGTCTTGTTTAGGTTTTATGTCTGTCTTTGAATTTTGACTTTTAAAGTGATTTTATTCATTTTTAGTTTAGTCGAACTGATGATGGAGCTGGACTCCGAAACGTTTTCAATATCGATATGGTGAATTTTCTTGGCGTTTTCTTTGCTTTTAAATTCCTTGTTCCAAATAATGATATTACAACCTATCTTCCAATAAATATTTGTAAGATAAAAATCAAGAGGTTCACGTTAACAATCTTTTAATTTTATCTTTTTTAATATTAATTTTTAACAATCTTATAATTTCCAGTCACGCGGCATAATTTCTTCTTTCTTCACATGTTCGTTGAGCTTGACTAATACAACCGACTTTATTGTACTTCTCTCTTTAATTTTCTTTAATAATATGTTTGGATGAAACTTTCAATTGATACATCTGTACTAATTTAGGGTGTTTTTATCAAAGTTTTTAAGCGTTTGGGTAGAGTATATACATATTTTGGGAAGGGCATATCATTTGGAATGGATACATCATTCAAGGAGGGTATATCATCAATTGGTAGGATACATCATTTAGGGAGTGTACATCATTTGGGGAAGGTACATCATTTGGGGAAGGCGCATCAATTCGGGAGTGCACATCATTTAAATAAGGCTAATCCATGGGGATAATAAATCATTTCGGGCGGATAAATTGCGCAATGAATGAGTTTTATCTCAATTAGTTTACTTGATAGCTGCAAAGCGCGTTTACTTCGCATTTTAACAAGCTGATTAACTGCAGCTTGGTTTAACTGCAGGTCTTAGTAAAAACAAGCTAAAAAAAACTTTGAAAAAATTGCGTGAAATCATTAATAAACCCGACTAACCTCAAACTCAAAAAATACGGAATTGGTTGAAAAACGAGAATTTCATTCTAGACTGCATCATGGCATTCCCAACATTTCTCATCAGTGGAGCTGAGGCAGAAAATATAAAGCTATTTACTTGGCATAGACGAAAAAACTTCCGGAAACACGGCGGAGAAAAATAATTTTGTTTTTACAACGGAAGAACAAAATTATACACATATACCTAATAGATTTTCTGTAGGATAGTTCCTTATACAATATTTCATTGGTGTCTTGGTAAATAGATTTGAAGAATGAAACGAATTTGAAGAAACAATTAATAGTCGCATCGACAAAATCTATTACGATAGAAATCCGTTGTATTTAAAATGTGGGAGTTGGCCTTTGAAAATAAACTGTACAAGCAAGCGAGTCGGATGACCGAGAACCCACTGCAATATACAGAGAACGAATTGAATTAAAAATGTAAATATAATTGATCCATCTTTTCCATGAGAAGAAAAGTTACTGTATATAATCGGGACCAGTATATCGATGAGTCAATAAATACCTGTAGCTTTAGTCCTCCTGCCTTATATAATATATTCGCCACATTCACGGTCTAAATTGAAACCCCACAGAATAATAAGAAATAAATAGCACATTTTTATTAACTTCACTTTAGAATATTTAAAAAATATGCATGAGGAAATTTTCTTAAAAAGCCCTCAAATACAGCAAAAATATGTTTCATA